GGTTTTAGAATATTTTCTCTTCCTTATCATAAATCCAGAGTAAAACATATAAACTCTGCCTCTGCCTGAAAACCAGAAAAAAAAACTGAGAATAAATAACAACCAGTGAGTCACTAACAGCTATTGTACCTATTCTAAAAGATTCTCAAGTGTAATGCAACGCAACAGTTTACAACCTTCTGAAGTGAATCTGCCATGTTTGATACCCTTTGAAAAACATGGCTTATTTCCTCTTTATACCAGACCTGGTAGAGGGACCAGTGAGAGGGAAGGCTCAAGAGTTGAATTTCTTTTTATTTTGCCCAATTAATGGCATTTTAACTTTTAAAGTTCTCATTTTCAACTAGAGTCACAAGAGAAGGGATACAGACTCACCTGTGTTTACAGGGACCTCTCAGCAAACTGAAGGATGGTGGGTAACGTCAGTAAACATCTCATTTCTGAAGTGCTGCACAGAGGGCACATTGTCATCATATAATGCATACAGTAGCGTCTGGGTTTTTGCTCTGGCTCTGCTTTGAGCAGAGGCAAGCAGTAACATACTGCTTTAACAAGGGATCAGCAGCATCATTACAGCTGCACAAAGACATCTCCTCTACTGCTGCGGCGCTTTGTGGAAGTTTCCCAGCCGAAGCACAAGCAAACACCAGATCACCAATAACGCAGGTTGCCAAAGTGTGTGTGTGTATATATATATGTATATGTGTGTGTGCAAAAACATATTTGTCAGCACAGTTGCCCACACACACTTTTTTGCATGATTAGATCAAAACTATGCAAAAAGTATGAAAAACACATGCAGTATTTTGCATGTGGATGTACTTACCAATACCTGCAGTGTTGCAAACCACATATTTTGTACCTGTCACTCTGAGGTTTCTTGTTTGTTTGATTTTCATGTCTAAAAAAATTCCAGGGTGATGCCATCCTGAGTGTTGCTAATGCACTCACTCTGTTGACTAGTTAGAGCCCAGGCCTATTTCTATTATCTTGCTGATGAGCCATCTGATTGATTCACGACTCTCGGTGCAAATGCCCTCAGAAAAATTTTAACAGGGTGGAAAAGAAGTCTTTTATATTTTAGCTTTCCAGCTGTGTTGACATGTGTCAAAAAATGAGAATAAATTCTTGTGACATTGCTTTGATTGGCTTAATTTCGTTACATTTCAAATGAGCTCCAAAAGATGTGTTGTTTTTCGCAGAATGGCTGGATGAACAACCTTTGCCTCGGAGAGAGTGTTGTGGAGATAACAAGGCAGCTGCTGAACATTAATCCTTGGCTGAGGTTTAAATACTATAAAGGCTCCAGGCGAGATCTCGCAAAAGTCCGTCTTAATTTTTTTTCTCCCATGTCCCCTGCGGGGCTCCGTAATTTATAGCTGTTCGAAATTAAAGTTATTCCAGCAGGTATTATGAAAAGCAGGAGTACACTGTGTTTCAGGGATAACAGCGACCTCTGTGGCCACAAGTGGAAATGACATCATTTTGGCACAGCTTATCATGTGCCCGCGAACCCAAAACAAAATCTCATCTCATTACAAAACAGCAATTTTACAGTTCACAGTCATTTAATTTAATTTAACTTAACGCGAGCTCAGTGTAAAATGTGGTGGATAAAACATGCCAGTTTATGCAATGTTAGTTTATTTTGTATCTTTCACCCTCCTAATGTGAAATTTTTGAATCATGACTACAAGCAGCAATTATGAAGTAATAACGTGATTCCAGCATTAAAATTATACCATCACAGCTGATATCTGCACATTCACATTTGGTTCTGTTTTAAAAGAAAAAAAATGTTTATTGGTTTGAAAGGCATGCCTCAAAAGCTACAGTATGTTAGGGGTCAGGGTGAGATGGTGCTAGATGATCCCTACAGGGAGCAGCTGAAAGAAGAAGAGACATGAAAAAGAATAACAAAGTGCTGAAAACTTTGATGGTTTGGCCTACAGCAAATTGCCAGACATTCATTGTGATAGTTTCAGCCTGGCCATTTTACCGCTGCCAGTCTTCAGGAATAGTGTCCAGGCTCATTGAAGCACATTCAGAGCTCTTCAACGCTTCACTAAAACCGAGGTCGGAGCTCTGGAGAGGCCAACCCGTGACAGACAGTTTGTTATTGTGTGTTTTTCTATTCATGTATGTTTTTATTGCATACCTGGATAGAAATGTTTTTATTGATTTTTTATTATTATTATTATTATTACATTGGCAGTGTGTTTGGGGTCACTGTGAAAAATTAAGCTGCTGTTAATCAGATGCTTTCCAGATGGTATTACATGGTGGATCAATATCTAACAGTACTTTTCTGTGTTCATAATTCCATCATTTTGATGAGAGCTCCAATAATACTGCCTGAAATGCAGCCAATGGACAACTTAGTTTTGAGTTGTGGGAAAAAACCATGACAGAGCCTCTACTGTTGCTCTTCTGTGTTGGCTGTAGACTCTCACTTTTGTACCTCTCCTCACCCTCTCCTTACATACTCACTCAAAAGACTTAAAACAAATGTTTCAAATTTAGATTCATCACTCCATCAGACCTGTTGCTAGTGATTTTTAGTTTGGTTCTTGTATAATTTAACACAGTGGCCCCCAACCTTTTTTGCGCCCTGTCGCGACCTTTAAGGTGTCACGGATAAATACGTTAAAATAAAACCAGTGCTGGTAACAAAAAAAAGATTTATTCATAACACATGGGAAAAGACCCAGAGAAAAAGAGTTAATGATAAATGTGATTTTTTTAAAATAACTCTAAAAATCAATAAAAACCCTGAAAACCATAAATTTCACGCCAAACCTCAACTCTCACGGCCCGGTACCAAACAACTCACGGACCGGTACCGGGCCATGGCCCGGGGGTTGGGGACCACTGATTTAAGAAACCTTAGCCTTTTCTTTCTTTTTCCTTTCATTACGAATGGCTTCTTGACAGCCACCACCTTGATACCACGTCCACTGAGACCATTTCTGATGATTAGACTGATTAGCTGAAGGGCCAGATGCATCTCTCAGGGTCTGTGTCAGATTTTTTTCTGAATTTTTTACTCATTGTGAAAGACATGACTTTCAGATACTGTTCATCTGGTGTAGATACTTTGTTAGACCTGCCACTTTTTCTTTTGTCCTCCACTTTGTCCAATTTCCTCAACTTTTTTTAGGACACCTTGCACATGATATGTCAAGTTTTCAGTTAACAGGTCTTGGGAATCACCTTGTTGGTGCAAAAATAAAATTTCATGCCTGTCAAATTATGTTTACTTTGACATTTCTCATGGATCCAACCAAAGAAACTAGAACAAATGATTATTTTTTTCCCACAACTTAAAACTAAGTTGTCCGTTTTATACAGACACAACCAGTGACGGTCCTAGCCTGTTTGGCGCCCTGGGCGAAAACTCCCTCCCTTATTTCTGGGATTTCGCACAACCTAGGATCCAAATCATGAATACATAATGGGCTTGGATTTACAAGATTATGAATGAAATGTGCTCTATTTGGAAGCAGCCGGCCCCCTCCCCTTTCGATTGTTTGTGTGTGAGACTTTAAATCATCAAACTGTAAATTATAAATTTTGAATTGTTATTGATCCCTTTACCCCTGGTCCTAAAGTGTATATTTATTTTCTTACTCTTCTTATATTTATTGTTTGTTTACTTGCACTGCTGTAACTGGAGCCTCGTCGCCTCGTTTATGCTGGACTGTATGTAGCGGAGATGACTTTGACTTCGGCAGCGAGCAGGCGCACTGAGGGCTCTCGCGCTCACTTTTATAGAATTTCGAAAAAACATCGGTGCAAATTATAAGTCTGTATCATAATATCTGGTGTTTTCGTGTTTGTTGGTTTGTTTTTATTTTGTTTTATTTTGCGAGTTGGTTATTAGATGCCACTCCAGCCAGCCAGAGAATCCCCCGCTGCCCCGACCTCTCCTCCCTGTGCCGCAAGCAGCAGGCGCACCTCGCAAACGGAGGGTGCCCTTACTCCCAGCAAATAGGCGATAGAAAACCAATTGGTGCCTATACCATTCCCAATATGCGCTGGCATGACGTTGGGGCAGCATGAGTAGGCTACGAGCATTCTTTTTTTTTTTTTAATTTTTGCCAATGCCCGTGATGCCGCCCCCCACAAGGTAACCGTATCAAACCGTATCAAAAACCGCTACTGGACACAACACCAGTTGACCCCTTTAATCAGGTGCATTTTTATGTTTGAATGGTTCACAGGTCCGTGTTAAAACACTCCTATGAAAAAGTTCACGTAAAAGGACTGGACTGAAAATGAGTGGAAAAAGCAGCCAGTGTCCAAAGAAAAACTTCCAAAAGCCTTCAGAAAGCCTGGAGAACTATTGTTCAAGATCACTTTAAAAGATTACCAGAAAGTCTCACTCCTTTTAAAGAAACACAAAGATGTCAGGCGGCTCAATCCGATCACTCTACACTATAGATACAAATGCTGGTATTGATCAGTGCCAGCACAACTGGATCAATACTTTATTTCTATCCTCTAAGTTTGGTATGTAGCCCACTAAATTGTGTTTAAAAAAAAATTTTTTTTAGATGACTGCCATAAAATATATTTTCAAAATAAATCAAAAGCAGGTTTGTTTTTATTAGGAAATTATTGTGAAAACTAAAACTCACAGTGCTTTAGTGATCAGAATTTGCAAACTAATCATAATTCATCTCATAAACCATGGCACACTGCTCTCCCCTACATTAGCTACCTTTTTAAGTTTAAAAGTATCGATATCGGTATGTTCAACACTTCCTCCGTGTTCACTACTAACTGTTTAATAAATCTGTATTTATAACACCGGCACCAATTGTTCTGCCAGACGGAAGCAGCAGTTTTACTACCAGATGTCGAATAAAAGAAGAAGTAACCCTCCGCGAGCGTTTGTGGGTAATGGAGTCTTTCAATGGCGTGTCTGCTTGGCGCTAACTAGGCGAAGAACTACATATCCCGCTTGTCTTCACTGCAGCGTGTTTTTGTGTGGACGAGGTGAAACGTACTTCGCTTTGCTTTTCTATGCTAGCAGTTAGAGCAGTTACACTCGTGTCTGTGAGCGGTGCTTCACAGATAGTGGACGTCAAAACACGGCCACCATACGTCACGGTGCGGAATGTCAACAACGGCATCTGGCGGAACAGTTTCAGGTGTGTAAGTGTGAATTAAATGTCGTGAACTGCTTGTAAAATTAATCTAACGCCTTTGTTTCACTCATAGTCACTTGGATGAGTGACGAAACGTTTCTCCCACTGAAAACGCTCCGTCCAGATGAACAGAATCAACCTTTGGAGGTCTCCTAATAAAGTTGTCATGTTCATTTTTAAGTGAACATTTCTCAAGGAGCAAATTTTAATACTATACAAAGGTAATCCGAGTAAATACAAAATGCAGTATGTAAGTGGTGATTTCATTTATTAAGGGCAAAAGTTATAAAAACCGCACCGGCCACTGTCAAAATGTAATTCCCCACCTTGTTAAGTCACAAATTCAAAGCCATTAATCACATTTTTTTGGAAAGCTAGCCATGCAAAGACCTGGTTACTGTTGGACCTCTTCAATTATGAAATATGTAAATAGAACCTGTTTTTCAAAGTGAAGTAGATTTAAAGATCTCTAAAAGCAACACATCATGCCACAATCTAAAGAAAGTCGAGAACTCCTGAGAAACAATTTCTCATCTATCAGTCTGGAAATTATTACACAGATATTTCCAAGGTTTTGGACTCCAGCAAACTGCTGTGAGAGGCACTGTCTAGAAATGACCAGCTTCACCACTGAACTTTTCCAGGAGTGGCCAGCTTACCAAAATTCCTCCAAGAACACATCAACGACTTATCCAGGAGGTTGCAAAACAACAAACAGGCAAAAACCACTGCTGACCAAAAGGAACACGACGACTTGTCTCACATTCGCCCAAAAACATCTTGATGATGCCTTAGACTTTTGGGAAAATATTCCATGGACTGAGTCAAAGGTTTCATAAAAAGAGCATCGTAGCAACAGTCAAGCATGGTGGTGGTAGTGTAATGGTCTGGGGCTGCTTTGCGGCTTCAGGATCAGGATGACTTGTCGTAACTGATGCAACCATGAATTCTGCTTTCTACCAGAAAATTCTGAAGGAGAATGTCTGACATTCATGCCCTGAAGCTTGAACACATTTGAGTCCTGCAGCAGGAAAAAGATTTGCAGTCCACTTCTTAACGGCTCCAAAACAAAAATGTTTGGAGTGACCTAGTCAAAAAAACCACACCTGATGCCTCTTAAAGTCACCTTTCTCTGCACCTCTGGACCGTTTCCAGTGCAGTTTTCTGGAAATCCCTTTCACTCTCCTCAATCCTGAGCGTCACTAATGATGAGAGCGGAGCCTCACGCTACAACCGGGTGACCAAACAGAAGTTCCCAACATCAAAGCCTGAAGATAAGCCCCCTGAACAGGAGCATGTTTGTTTTTGTTCTGACATTTACAGTATTCTGCACTGAGAGTCCACCCACAACAGTTGCACTGTCAAACCAGGGTTGTGCTCTAACATCCTGAGTCACCCAAACTCATCCGATTTATTGTCCTAACCCTATTTTAATAAGCAGCAATCACTTAAAGTTTTTCGATTCACACCATGTAAAATTAAACATTGTTTTTACTTTGATACAATTATAATTTTCATCACTTCCCTTTCAGTAATTTTTCAGTTAATTATTTTTTAGCCACTGAGAGTAGTCAGCTTTGTCCTACCCGAGAGATTTAATTTAGACTGACATAAAAGGGAGAAAGGAAAAAAAAATAGCTAAAAACCTGATGCGAGAATGTCTGATCATAACAAAAATGACGATAAAATGGTTTCTGTTGTAAAGTCTGCCAGTCAATTAACCATTCTGATATTGCAAACTAGGAATAATGGAATGACAGCTCACATTTGAGAAACTTGAAAGGTCTATATTTGACATTTTCCAGTTACCAAAATAGGTTTTAATTATTTTTCTACTCATTAATTCCCTCATTGTGTCAGTGCCGCAGCTAAGAAAGAATCTGACGGGAACAACAGATGTGATGGCTTATTGTTTGTCTACTCTTAAAGGTGCGAATATCAAATTTAAGAAGCAACAGACCAAAAATAATTATGAAACCATCTGTGCATGCCAGATTCTTCTATAATGACTGTTTGTCAGCAGTGAGGTAGCCCGAGCCCGGCAGCTGGATATGTTTCTGTAATCCTAATGATGCTGGACATTTTTTATCCAATGCGGTCTATAAAGAACTGGGGGAAATAAATGAGCCACAAGGCTTTAGGTCGTTGCACACTTACATTTTAAAGATCTGGTAGATCATACCTTACACAAACACTAGGTAGAAATTAATTGGTTCTTTGGGTGGCTCACTGGTGTTTGTGTCTACTTCAACCTTAACACGAGGAACAAACTAATAACTCTGACGTGTCTTCTCTGTCCAAAGCAGCGACTGATGGAGTTTCCAGAAGATTTTAACCAGCTCGAGCTTCTCGACACACACGGACACCTGATCCCCCGAGGGTCTGGCAGCGTGTGGACCGGAAGCAAGGACGATGAAGAAGAGCCAGAGGAGAGGGAGCACAGTGAGGAGTGGTATCTGGAAAAGGAGGAAGCTCTCAAAGATGAACCCAACGAGCTCATTCTGTGGGCGGCAGAAAACAATCGCGTAAGTCCAGTTTTGTTTTCAGATTAGGGGTGAGCGGTAGAGCTTTAAAATAATATTATTATTTCAAGGAAATTTGTGAAAATGATATTATGTATGGGGAAAAATCTTTTCCATCCTTGTTTTACAGTGAGCTACTGTCACTGCTGACAGGCTATCTAATTTGAAGTGTGAATCTATTGAAACAAAGTGCCAGTTTTTCCTGGTGCCAACTGGTACCAATTCCCTTCTGGCTTCATCTTCGTTTTTGCAGCGTTTAAAAAAAAAAAAAAGAAAAGAAAAGTTTAGTTGTTTTGCTTCTCATTTCCTTCCTTCTTCACGTGAACTACAGTAGAACCCAAAGGAAGGAGATAATATCCTCGTTTATATTGTAGCCTGAATAGTTAAACTTTGAGTTTTTCTTCCATCTGTTGCAGCACAAACGGTATCATCAGTCATTCAGGTCTTTAAACTGAAACATGGTTTGATTTTCATCCTTTGGGCATCCAGTTTTTTTTAACCATCTATCAACATGAACATCTTGTGCTGCTGCAGTTTAGCTCACTTTTGTCAACTACTGTAGGTTTTTTTTTTTGGTAGTTTAAGATGAATTTTACCCGTTTTGATCCCAACTCTCTGTAGATGACCTTTACTTAACTAAAGATACCAAACTTATACAAAGTTCACCTAAATACGCTGCAGTCTCAGAAGTGACCAGGAAACGAGTTAACACTATTATTGTACCGAGATTAAACGGCTGTCGCAGTACAGCTTCTTCTGCAAATGACTTTTTCCTGTCGTGAAAATGGCGACAGCAGCTTTCAGTGGTCTCAACATAATACCACAAAAATACATTTTGCTGTCATCTTAAAAGCAGCACTTTGCTTCCCCCTCACACACTCCTGCCCTCTTCCCCATCATCTTCCTCTTTGCAGTCAGCAGCTGCGAGCGGATCAGTCTGTTCTTTTTCCTTCTTTGTCGCTGGTTTTCTTTGTAAGATACTGAGTTATCCAATGTAGCATCTGCTGCTGACTATTTGTTGACAGTAAAACTACGCCTCTGGAAACCTATGTTATTTTAAAGCATGAGCTTTTTTATTTTAAAGGTCACTGGGAAATGAAAACTGAAGGTATAGAGCCGCCGGTCTTTGCTGTTGCTGATGTCTCCCCTAAATTTTAGTTCAGGATACACTGACTGCCACGTCTATTTACTGCAATTTCTCAGCCAAGCATCCCTCTTGGTCAATTACTAGACACTATTTATTCAAGTTTGAATTAAAGTCCTGGGGGCACACACTGGGGAAAAAATCACAACACAAGCTGATGCTTTATGAATTTCAAACCAGTCATGACCTTTGAGTCTTCATCTCAGGATAGAAGCAGAGCTGAATAAATAGTAATTACAGCATTTAGGGACACAAATTAAAGTCACTCCATTAAAGTCAAATGTTTGTCAAACAAATATTTTCCCCCGACAGATCTCTGGCCTGCTGCGAGATCTAAGCAGCAACTAATCGTAACTGCATAAAATTCCTACTGGCTGAAGCTGGACATCATCCAAGTGTGAGGGTAGAGCAATGGCAAAACTAATCAGCTTCGTATATTCACTTTATTTTTACACTTCACCTTTAAGGATAAATACAAAGATAAAAGCACAGTTTCATCATATGCATCCTTTATTTTGGCAGATTTTTGTTCTAATCCCACGGAGACGTTGACCACACACAGGATGGTTTGTGGTATCCTTTAAGTTGTTTCCACTTGAGAAGGTTAAATAGTGTAAATAAATAGTCTTGAATGTTGATTTTTTTTTTTTTAATGATTATTTCTTCTAGTTAAAATTACACATGGCTCTCTAACCACAAATGGGAACTCGTGAATTAGTTGTAAATATTTCACAGGCAGCAGTGATTATATTTGAATTTCAAATTTTAATACTGAGAAGGCATCAATACCTTTTCCCCAGTTATATAAAAAATAAAAACAAAACACAGTCAGAGTTTACAAAGTGACCGTCTAGATTAAAAATGATAGAACTATATACTAATGCACCAGTATAGCTGTATGAGTAACCTGCTGTCTGAGACTTGTGGTAAATTCAATATTTAAATGTCAAGAATTGCAGAAGTTCCACCGAGGAATAAAAAATCTCATGACTTTCTACACCATGAGGCAGGAAGCAGCACAGAAACACAGCTGCATTTAATACAGCCTGAACTCCCGAAAAAGACAAAGCACAAAAGCTGAATGAAAAACAATATACACTTGCAGATAATTAAACTTGCGTCAGCCTAATTTAATCAAAGTTCATTATTTGCATTATAACACTGTCACATCCAGCAGTTTCCCTCAACACACCATAATTGAAAAAGATTCGTGCGTGGAATAAATTCCCAAATAATTCAAAGTTATTTGAATTTTCTTGATTTTTGTCTTGATTAAGTGAGTAGAAGAATTCAGCTGAGCAGTTTCCAGACAGTAAGTCCTGATAATGTCAGGAGAATAATTTCATGGAGCTGTCCAGAGTTTCCTTTTTGTACATGTAGCCCACAGCAGGAGATTTTCATCAGATGTGTTCTCATTGTTCTCACCTCTGGAACAAGTCAGCTTAACTTTGGAGCTAAGAAGCTGGGTAGAGCATGTAGGAGGCAGGATGCGCAGCACCCACTCATTTGCTGTAAATTCCCAGAGCTTTTGCCTTCTGTGTTCTCAGTTTGACCTTGCACTGACTTTGTACAAGGAAGCTGGCAGGGAGAAGATCTTTTGACGCCTGATCCGGGGCTACAGTGCATGTGTGAATATAATTTAAACAGCAGTTCTTCCTCCTGCAGGGTTATTTTCAGTCTGACATTACTGTCTTTAAATCATAATCTTATATGCTTTTCATACAAGTTTCACACAAGACAGATACAAACTTTATAAGATTTATATATATCTTTTCCATATGGGTAACCTTTACTTTGAAGCTGAACAGTCTACGTTTCCAGTTTATATTAAAGTTTCTCCACTGCTCAGAGACTAGTTGACAAGTGTTTGCAGAGTGTTCCTTTTGACCTTTTTTCTTTGTTAGCCTACGTTATTGGTATCAGTTTGTTGGTTAAACCGAAGCTTTGCTGAAGAGGTATCAGAAAGTCTGAAAATCAAACTGCTGCATCAGATCCTTTGACAGCTTTTGGTGCCTTTACCGCAAAGTAAAAAATAAACGAAGGTGCTTATGTGACTATTTAAAGTTTGCATGAAGCACAAATGGAGCCGACCTTGTGATCAATGTTGCAGAAATGAAGTTTTATTTGAGAAAGAGCAGCTCAAATGAAAGGTTTTCTTACAATCACTTTATGTGGTTTTCTTTCAGCTTGCCACAGTCCACAGTTTGTTAGCTGCTGATCCTTCGCTGGTGCACTGCTGTGATGAAGATGGTTACACTCCCCTGCACCGTGCAGCATACAGCGGTCACATCGAAGTCGTCTGTGCTCTGCTTGCCGGCGGCTCTAAGGTCAACCCCCGCACCATCGACGGCTGGACTCCCCTTCACAGCGCTTGCCGCTGGAGCCGCGTTTCTGTGGCGAGTTGTCTCCTGCAGCACGGAGCGGAACTGAACGCCCAGACCAACGGTGGACTCACACCATTACATCTCGCTGCTTCATACACAAGCTTCTCAAAAACAGACTCCAGACACACCTTAGAGCTGCTGCTCTCTCAGCGCCATCTGAAGCCGGGGCTCCGCAGCAGCAGCGGGGAGACTGCCGGAGAGGTGGCTCGACGTAGTGGGCCCCATCACTTTATGTTTGAGATGGTGGAAGACTATGTGAATGTGGTGCCCATCTCATGAACAAAAGCACAGGCCCACACAGGCTTTCACATTAGTATTGATGTCTTGCTCATGGTCAGGTTTCCTTTTGAAGCAACATAATAAACGTGAATGTCAAATCTCCAATTCATCTTCTTTACAATTAGACTGAAAGTTTCTTCTCTTTTATTCTGCAATAGACCACAGGTTAAAAAAAGGTCTCTTTAAACCTGAAATTGCAGGATTTCTGAGGAGCTGAAAAGATGCTGTGATAAGATTCAAGCTGTGTTTCTGAGTGCCAATTGTTCAGTGACATTTAGATATTAGAAATTCAAACCATTATATATGAGTAGTTATTTTAGTATCTACCTGTTAACTAAAAGTCTTTTTCAACCTTGAAAGGTTTTCTTTGGATTTGTGTAGGGCCTAACTTTTACACTCATTAGCCACTTTATTTGTTGCTCGAGTAGGCTCTGGTACTCAAACGATGATCACTTGGTACTATGGTGCCCAAAATGTGCCAAGTAAATATAACCCACACCATTACAACACCACTACTAGCCTGAAACACTGATTAAAGGTAGGATGGATGAGACTTATCAGATCAGGCAATGTTTTTTTATTTTCTATGGTCCAGTTATAGTGAACTTGTTGTGTAGCCTCAATTTCCTGTTCTTAGCTGACAGAGATGGCATCCAGGTTGGTCTTCTGCTGCTATAGCCCATCTGCTTTAAGGTTTGACATGTTTTAAGAGATGCTTTTCTGCATAACTTGGTTGTAACTTATGCTTATTAGTGAATATTCATACTGATCTTCTTTTGGCCTCTGACAGTGGATTTATGTCTGTGCTTGTATGGCTAAACCTCAGTGCAGTGTTTGATACTGTTGAGAATATTTTATTATAGAAATTAGAGCATGCCATAGATACTGCACTGCTGTGATTTGAATCATATCTAATAAACCACAATGTGTTAATGTAAATGGGAAGTCCACAGGGTTCTAGGATTCTGCTGACATTATATATGGATCCCTTAGGCCAGGGGTCCCCAATCCCAGTCCACGAGGGCCGGTGTCCCTGCAGGTTTTAGATGTGGCCTTGATCCATCACAGCTGATTTAAATGGATAAATTACCTTCTCAACATGTCTTGCAGTTCTCCAGAGGCCTGGTAATGAACTGATCATGTGATTCAGGTGTGTTGACTCAGGGTGAGATCTAAAACCTGCAGGGACTGGCATTGGGGACCCCTGCCTTAGGCAATATCATTAGCATGCATTTTTATTGGTTTGCAGATGATACCCAGGTTTATCTATGAAGTCGGAAGTCAGGTAGCACACACCAATTAGTTAAACTGCAGGAACATCTTAAAGACATAAAGACCTGGATGACCTCTAATTTCCAGCTTGTAAATCCAGATTGTCACAGAACACGGAGTGTTCAGGTAACAGGACCCCAAAGCAGACTCAGCACACCGCAGCTCAGAACTATGTACAAGTTTTTATTGAACTGAAGAATCTTTTAACAACGCTAAGGAAACGAAAAACTAAGGCTCATACCACGGGGGGAAACGAGGAGCGTGGAGCCCAGGAGCACCGTAATCGGGACCGTGGGGAAACTGCAACAGAAAGGGGAGACACAGTTAACAGCACGCAGGTTGTCAAGAAATGAACAGCTAGACTTCATAAGTTGCCGAGGCTTACAGGTAGAGCAGGACCGTGGAGCTTGGAGGGGAGAGGTGCCCGTGAAGGGAATCCTAGGGAGGGAGGGAGGCCACAAGCTTCCACGCCGAATGCTGGTCACACTGGGAGGAGACTTACGGACTGGCGAAGAGAAGCTGTCAGAGCTGGCTGAAGTAGTCCTCCGGTGATTGCCTCAGATGAGACGTAGGTGGTTTGGAGGCGGCCCATCCCGAGGGTGTGGCCACCGTAGCCTCCCACGGCTCCCTGGATGCCGAGCCATGGGCCGTGACACAGATAAAACTGAGCGACTGTTATTGTGATTTGGTGCTGTCTAGTTAAAGTGAGGTTTAATTTTTGAGTTCCCATTGAGTTAATATTTGATTTACTGCTGGCCTCCCTGTCAGCTCAAAGCAGTCTGGTTATGCTCTGACCTCTGGCATCAACAGTTAAAGTAGTTTAAACATGCTGTGTGCAACATAGATCGCAACTAGAATATTTTTCTTTTCAGTTACTGCTAAATATTAAAGTTTTTAATAATAGCTTCTTACTTTGTGTGACAAGGTTTTACAGATCTTCTTCTCTGCATGCTTTTTCTCAGGCAATGACCATTAAAAGGAACCCCGGCTATTAAGACATGTTTGTGTTAAAATATGTATGTGCTTTCAATAATATATATGTGGAATTAAAATACGCCAAATGTTTTCCTTTTAAGCACATTTTACAGGGAGTGCAGAATTATTAGGCAAGTTGTATTTTTGAGGAATAATTTTATTATTGAACAACAACCATGTTCTCAATGAACCCAAAAAACTCATTAATATCAAAGCTGAATGTTTTTGGAAGTAGTTTTTAGTTTTAGCTATTTTAGGGGGATATCTGTGTGTGCAGGTGACTATTACTGTGCATAATTATTAGGCAACTTAACAAAAAGCAAATATATACCCATTTCAATTATTTATTTTTACCAGTGAAACCAATATAACATCTCCACATTCACAAATATACATTTCTGACATTCAAAAACAAAACAAAAACAAATCAGCGACCAATATAGCCACCTTTCTTTGCAAGGACACTCAAAAGCCTGCCATCCATGGATTCTGTCAGTGTTTTGATCTGTTCACCATCAACATTGCGTGCAGCAGCAACCACAGCCTCCCAGACACTGTTCAGAGAGGTGTACTGTTTTCCCTCCTTGTAAATCTCACATTTGATGATGGACCACAGGTTCTCAATGGGGTTCAGATCAGGTGAACAAGGAGGCCATGTCATTAGTTTTTCTTCTTTTATACCCTTTCTTGCCAGCCACGCTGTGGAGTACTTGGACGCGTGTGATGGAGCATTGTCCTGCATGAAAATCATGTTTTTCTTGAAGGATGCAGACTTCTTCCTGTACCACTGCTTGAAGAAGGTGTCTTCCAGAAACTGGCAGTAGGACTGGGAGTTGAGCTTGACTCCATCCTCAACCCGAAAAGGCCCCACAAGCTCATCTTTGATGATACCAGCCCAAACCAGTACTCCACCTCCACCTTGCTGGCGTCTGAGTCGGACTGGAGCTCTCTGCCCTTTACCAATCCAGCCACGGGCCCATCCATCTGGCCCATCAAGACTCACTCTCATTTCATCAGTCCATAAAACCTTAGAAAAACCAGTCTTGAGATATTTCTTGGCCCAGTCTTGACGTTTCAGCTTGTGTGTCTTGTTCAGTGGTGGTCGTCTTTCAGCCTTTCTTACCTTGGCCATGTCTCTGAGTATTGTACACCTTGTGCTTTTGGGCACTCCAGTGATGTTGCAGCTCTGAAATATGGCCAAACTGGTGGCAAGTGGCATCTTGGCAGCTGCACGCTTGACTTTTCTCAGTTCATGGGCAGTTATTTTGCGCCTTGGTTTTTCCACACACTTCTTGCGACCCTGTTGACTATTTTGAATGAAACGCTTGATTGTTCGATGATCACGCTTCAGAAGCTTTGCAATTTTGAGACTGCTGCATCCCTCTGCAAGATATCTCACTATTTTTGACTTTTCTGAGCCTGTCAAGTCCTTCTTTTGACCCATTTTGCCAAAGGAAAGGGCGTTGCCTAATAATTATGCACACCTGATATAGGGTGTTGATGTCATTAGACCACACCCCTTCTCATTACAGAGATGCACATCACCTAATATGCTTAATTGGTAGTAGGCTTTCGAGCCTATACAGCTTGGAGTAAGACAACATGCATGAAGAGGATGATGTGGACAAAATACTCATTTGCCTAATAATTCTGCACTCCCTGTATATATAACCGATTTACAAGTAGGCCGCCATTGTTATTTACTTCTCAATACACTCTGGGTAGTGTCATCATACGGTTGCACCGCATCACAGTTTGAACCAGAACAAACCGAGAGAGAGGATGAAAATAGTCAACCAGTACTTAGTTTAGATGAAGATGAAAACAATCTGTCACACGAGGACGCGAGAGTGAGGGAAAACTACTGGTGTCTATGGGGCTGCTGCCTGCCAATGGCAACGGCGACTGAGAGCGTTTGTTGTAAAGAGCTCAATTTTATGGCAGCAGCTATCCATAGTATCACATAACAGCATGATAAAAACATTAATAGAATTCTAATTTTTATTATACAGTGAAATTACAATATCGTTATTTTTACAGATATTCCATGCAACACAATGTACCAAAACTTTGAAGCCGTATGTCTTATTCCAGTTCTTTGAGCAGCCCTTGTTAGTCTCCATGACCAGTATAGCACTGGTCTACCAAGTCGTAACTAGGTCACTAATAGGCAAGTTAATTAATACCAATTAACTTATATAGGAGATCACAATGCAACACCATAAAAAACAAAACAGGTTAGCTGAACGAAAGCGCCTATACTGCCGACAACCACATGTCATCGTCCCAGAATGCATTGTGTGCGACAAAAACATGGCCGCTCCCACGGCTCCAAAACAATTTTAAACAACAAAGATTTAATGAATAACAAAAAAAAAAATTAGTTATTCTCAAGTATGTTTTTATGTAGTGGAGATAATTTGTAACATATTTAGAGTAACTTGTCAGGGTTCCTTTTAAACCACATACGACCATAACAAAGCTGTGAGAAAGGTTAAAAAACCAATACAGACTTAAGCTGTCAGCTATCACTGAGTATCTGTGCTGACACCAAATTCTTGTGTCGGGAGTTAAAAAGCATCACGAGTACAAAATACAATAGCAGAAGCAGACACGTCATCCGGTTTTTATCACACTCCTTGGCTGCTTTGACGCCTTTGAACACAATGACAAGTGATCTGCTCTGTGGGACAAACCCACCACTTTAACTCTCAATGCCACGAAAAGACTCAGAAGAGAATTTCAAAAGGAATCTGACTGAGGCACTGCCAAACTGGGAAAACCAGGGAGGAGGTGTGATTAGACTTTAGGTTTGTTGCGGCTTCCTTTTGTAAGTACCTACAATGTCCTTCTTAGTCATGAGACATGGAT